TTTACAATGACTTAAAACTTAACTCTGTAAAGACGTCTTTAGGAAGTTTCTGATCCATACCATTTTGAATATTTTCAAGTTGCTTACCTACATTTTTGATGATCGTGATATCCTTTTTGCGGAAAATTAAAAAATAACAAGTGAGTAGGTGAAACTTTGTATGTAAAGTCGGTAAAATCTCAAAATGTACCTACCTAAATCACAATGGAGCGTATACGAGTACAGTACACGCGCGATCTGATTGCATTCGGGATATGAGGGCTTGGCCTCCCGGTGTCCCATTCTTGTACTTCTATTTATCACATCTTGCACATCTATTTACTAGAATTCCCACTTCCCCGAATGACCACTTACTTTGACAGGGTGTACTACCTGGAACATTAAAGAAAGGGATTATTCATGGCGGCGCGGCGGTTCTATAAGTGAGAGAAGGAAAGCATGAACGGCTGGTGCATGTAAGAGCCTTAGTGCGAGTAAGAACGCGTGACCTTCGACAGCCATTTATAATTCCTTACTTTATTGAACCAGGTAGTAATATAGTAGCGATTGTATCTGGGTCATTCTTCAAAGGGTCGAAAATTTCGGTCACAGGGTTGTAAATGCTAAACTATACAAGTTTGGACATATCGATCGATTGGACATGATTTAACACTTCAATACCTATGTGGAATCGATAAAAAAATCTTATTTTATATTCACTTAGTATTTCAAAACCCAGTCTGAAAGTTAAAAACGGGAGGATATTTGGTGTTCTCCGCGTAGTCACACCTCGCACTAACTTTTTACAAATTATGATTTTATTACTTTCCTTATGTTTTGTACGTATCTATTGTATATCAAAATAATCGTCATAAAGCAATATATTAGGTGAATGATAAAGAAAATATGTAATGCGTGTAATTTTAAAAATAAACCCGAATGTAACGGTCACACGATTTCGGACAGTTAGCCCAAGCGTGGTAAAATCGTTCATAACTTCTAAGATTATAACCGTATCCAGCTGAGTTTTTGTTCCTCAAATTATTATGATATGCTTCAATAATCAAGCAGAGTGAATGGGCACCTCGGTGCCCAGAACTAAAAATATTTCCAAATATAAGGGCTGACACAAGTTTTACTACCCTTGCATGTAAGTTACGTGGATTCAAATTTCTTCTAGAATTAATACTCTTAGAGATTCGTCTTTTAGAGGGTTGATTTGTAATATAATCGGGACTATTGGTCTATAATTTTATTTAGATTCAATAAAAGATGGCCGAGTTATTAACAAAAATACTCTGTTTTTGTAATCTGCGTGGAGTAATTTGCGTGGCAAAATACCCACGCAGCTTACAATTCTTCCCACGCAGATTACACAATGGTTCTAAGAGTTAAAAAAAAGGTTGATATAACTATTTTAAATACTATTATTTTACCTAATATTCATTAAAAAACACATGAAAAGAATTCTTTTGGCAAATATCATCCAGTTTTTGAGTTTTCATATCGTTATACTTGGACATAGAATTTTTACCAATTTTGATGGATTTGAGTGCATGTTTTGTCAAAAAATACTGGACGTTGGCTCTATTCAACCACCTAACTATGTCTCGCAGCAATTTTTCGATGCCAGTGATCGTTGTCTCATAGGCTTGATGTGTATTTTGAGGCCAAAAGTCAAAACTTCAAGGTAGATCCAATTATATGCCAGCGACTGTATTGAGACATAGTGCTCCTGATTTATCTCTTGCACTGATAATCTTGCTAAATTTATCTCCGCTTGCACTTCCTATTTCTAAAAGAAGTACAATGCCAAAGCCCCCTTAACTTGCTTATGTAGGTATCATTGGTTCATAAACAGGGCGATAGCGTTAACTCGATTTGCTGTTACGTCATGATGAAGAAGAAGGTCTCCATCAGACGCGTGTCATATAAGTCTAATGTGCAGCAAACACCTGCAGCTGACCTGTCTTTCTTGCGGATCCAGTCAGGGAGGCCGAGAGGGTTGCATAGGGCTTAGACAACCCTGCGTATTCCATAACCGTGTCCTGGGCTACAAAATGTCTGTGGAGAGTCAAATCTTCCTGATATTATTTAAATCTACTGCAATTGACGGAGTTAGGCCATGGTGAGTTAACTTGTTAGTTGCCTACCAACTGCGGCCGTCAATTTGACTTTCACCTAAGACTACTGGGAATCTTTTTGCATAAGCTTGGGCAAACGTGGCGAACTTGCCAATTCACTTGACATTTCGAAGGCTTTTAGCTAGACAAGGTCTGGCAGAAACCTTGACCTGGCACCTCAGAAATAACGAGAATGCTCTACCTAGCAGTAATAGAACCCATTGTGCTGTACGGTGCAGGCGCTTGGGCGTCAGTGGCAGAGAAACAATACGCCAAAAAGATATTAAATTCACTGACAAGAACGTTCTGCTTAAAAATTTGCAGAGCGCACAGGACCACATCTCTCATCTCAAGCGCTCTGATTGCCACAGTACTTCCGCTAGATCTCAGACTAATGGAACAAGGGAGGTTGTATGAAATTAAGCGCGGGAAGCCGCTGAAAGATCTTCCTGGCAGAAAATTAGAGAAAAGAGTCAGCCCATTCTCTGTGCCTCATCCAGCTAAACGACTTTCCACCTCCTTCGGCAAAATAGAATCCCAAGCTGATGTCGACAACATTCCAACTACAGACTACCATCTCTATTCCGATGGTAGCAAAATAGAAGGAAAAGTTGGAGCAGCCGTCACAGTATGGAAAAACCAAGCGGAAGTGCAGAAAATGACCATGCGGCTAGGTAACCACTGCAGCGTCTACCAGGCTGAACTGGTGGCTATACTACGCGCATGCACATTCTTAGCTGAGGCTATAAAAGATAGCACAGGCGCGGTTATAAGCGACTCCAGGTCAGCACTGGAAGCCATCTGCGACCCAAAGCCAGAAAATCCAATTGCTGCAGAAATTCACACTCGAATCCATGAAATAATAGAGAAAGGTAACAGTGTAATTCTGTATTGGATAAAAGCTCACGCAAGAATAGCTGGGAACGAAAGAGCGGATGAATGGGCTAAACAAGCTGCCCTCAAGAGTAGAACAGCACAAGTCTACGACGACTTTCCTCTGTCATATGCAAAGGGATGCATTCGCGCGGACACTTTGGCTTTGTGGCAGGAAAGATACACCAGCAGTAATACAGGGTCTACCACGAAAATGTTCTTCGGAGATGTCAGACTGGCTCACAAGGTTTTAATGAAAATAGGCATCAAAAACATTAGAACACAATTGATGTCAGGGCATGGAGGAATAAGAGCATATCTCTACAGATTTAAACTAGTAGACAACCCATACTGCACCTGCGATGGGTCCAAAGAGGAAACTGTTCGACACATTCTATTTGAATGCCCAAAATATGGGTTGAAACGGCACGAATGCGAGTGCAGAATGGAATGTGCTCTAACGGAACAAAATCTGCAGGAGATAATGGCAGAGAGTAAACAGCGGACCCATTTTCTTTGTTTTGCTGAAGAGTCGTTTCTAAATGCGGCAAAAGCAAACGGGTCCACCATGTTTAAATAGATTCCTCATAATTTAGCTAATAAACTAACAAAAAAAACTAACCTTACTAACACACTCGCACGTTAAAATTTAAGTCACAGTATTAACTAATAACAAGTACAGTCTAAAACGTTGGATTGCATACCAACGATAAATTCCACAGGGAGGGGGTTTTAGTCCGTAGGTCGCCTGGGGGTAACCCAGCGGAGTCGGGTATATCATAAACGCCCGGGCCTTATGGTATCATTGATGATTTCCCCCTACCAACGCAAAAAAAAAACCTGGCACCTCAGCAAGCTTCCTGTTTATGACAACCCAGCTGGTTTTTGTAATCAATAACAGCTATCTCTTTGACCTCATGGCCATTGATGCCTGTGGTCCTCAAGGTTCTAGTCTCTCGGCGATTTTTTTCCTTCTGAACAGCTTTTAACTACTTCAGTGGATGACTTAGTCAATAAGTTGCTCTTGATTTGATGGAACTCAATACGAATATATCTGGTCAATACCAATCTACACAGCCTTGCTTTTTGTCGCAAGATGGCCTGCCAAGCAGTTTCATCATATTTTTATTCAAAATTATGCTGAACCAAGACCTCCACGACCTTATTCCGCCAGCTCCTTTCCACCATAGAACACCTGTAAGTATATTTGGCGGGATACCATCAATCCACCAATTTGGACTAAGCACTGAATCGTCTTTCATTGCACACTGAAAGACAGGAACTAATTACCTGCATCTGTTGACTCCAAAATCATAAAACCTTATAATCTGTTATGGTAGTAGTGAATAAAGACTTATTTTCCATGACCTGTCTCCATCACAGACTCCATTTTTGCCTTATAAACTAGACTTAAGTCAAGAATAATCATGTTTCAAGTAAAACTTATAGAAAACTAATGGAAATACAAAGATAAAATTTGCTATGTAATCTGCGTGGCTTGATTTGTAATCTGCGTGGCACCAAACATTTTAAAATTAAATTTCTCGAAAAGTAATTGTGCTAGTAATGAGCACCAAACTGTTCTATAATCGTAAAAGTATACAGAATCATATTTCATTGTCAAAATCTTAAAATTGCTTTAATTTAAATTTGCCACGCAGCTTACGCGGAGAATCGAAATCTGAATAATGACCCATCTACATATCAAGTATTGCGTGCGCTAAGCATTTAACGCGTGCTATGCAGTTGATGAATCTTGATTGGTCGTCATGTTTCATCTAATGATCATTATAGATCTGGTTTGTTTGCTTTCCTCCTCTTCTATTGCTTGCTACGTTCCTACATTCAATAATGTAGTAGGTAAGTACTCGGAATATTTTGTGTGAAAACTGCACCCAACTATTTGGAGACAAAGACGCTTAAACTTCTTCAAACTAAAAAAGTTAAAAGTTACTCATTAAGTTAGTCAAGTAACAAAAACATATATGAACGAAGCAAGTGGTTCACAATTTCGCCTTGGATAGAGCCTACCGTGGTGTAGTTGTTAACACGTCTGACTCGGCTTGTCAGAAGACATGGGTTCGAATCCCATCAGAGGCGTGAATTTTTTCCACTTCTTTCATTTAACTTTGTAACCAAAAAATCTTCAAACTACATAACATACTCTCTTAGGGACTTAATTTTGTTTTTATAAACTTGTTATTGTTACTTACCTCATCTGTTCACATCAATAGGATCTATATTGCAGAACAATGTTCAATAAGCGTAGAATCAACGATGCAGCCAACCTGTATATGTCCGAGTTGTCGTCCCGCGTGGTGGCGGAGTCGGGGCGCGCCTGCGACCGCTTCCATCTCGGCAAGCTCCTACTGCAGGCCCTGAAGGATGCGTCGGATTTCATTCTACAGGTACCAGTCAAACGCTTTTCCTCATAGTGAAAGTCTTTGGAGCCAGCAGAGCCACCTTACCCTATGGTCTTCTGCCAGGCAAGCTGCTGCGAGTTGAGTTAGGGAATGGACAGAAGGCAGCAGCGTAGCATTGTTTATCTGTCAAATACAAAGAGAAAAGAGGAGGATAAGAAATACCGTCTTGGACTAGAAAATGCTAATGCAATGAAACTGAAAAAAAGAAAATTCAACAGCGTGTCTGGACTCTGGATACCATAGAGGCTTGAGGTCCCAAGTAAAGATCTAATTGATTCACAAAGATCAAAGTACTATTTTATTTCTACTACCAGATCGATGGCGCTACCGATGAATCGGAAACTTTCGCATCAGCTCTCGAGAGGAGCGTTCGTTGCGCTATCAGCATGAGGAACCTTGGGCTGCAGTGTGGTGACGTCATAGTTCTGATGGCGCCAAACCACGTCGACCTGTGCGTGCCGTTGTACGCAGCCTTGTATCTTGGGGTTATCGTGGCTGCTGTTGATCGAACTGCCACTGTTGGTGAGATAAAAGTCCAGAATCTAAGAATATTTTAGGTTAATTTGCAAAGGGTCATCAGAGATTCAAGAGCATTACTACATTAGACTGCATTTTCCGTTTAGGCGAATTGAAAGGTGCGTTCGAGGTGGACAAGCCAAAAGCAATCTTCTGTCAAAGCGAGAAGGCTCCAGACATCCAGCTGGCCCTCAATGAGCTGGACATGGACGCTCAGATCATCACCTTCGATAGAGGAGACTATTTGTGCAGCTTCACCGATTTTCTGGACGAGTATGGCGATGACTCTCCTATCGAAGAGTTTCAGTAAGTCGATATGGTTGGATAGTAGGTGAATTAACGATTTATGAAAAATTTGCACAGTCTAAACCTTTGTCTTCGTACGTATATCTTAGATGCTTTGAGATTTGAAGGTTGATATCTGCCCTACCTGGACGACTCTCTGACCCACCAGAACAAGGCATTAGTTAACCCTTGTTGTGCTTCCCAGAAGAAAACTGAGTGTAGCTATGGGTCTGTTTCAGTGATATTTTATTAGTCTTTACTATATTCCAAAATTAACGTGTTAGCCTTGATATTTTCTCAAAATTATTAAGATTCACTCTTGCCTGTGGAGTAATATCCTTAAAATTTTCTAGGAAACATAAATTCGGTAATCTTTCAGAGCGACAGATTTTGACCCTGAGGATACGCTGGCATTTTTGATCGCCACCAGCGGAACGACTGGTCTGCCTAAAGCTGCTGCTGCTACGCACAAGAATTTCGCTATCAGTGGACCTTATTGGCAGTGAGTAAACCATTGTTACATAAATGTACCTTGAGTTAAGGTCTCACTCGTAGAAGCTGTGCTACCAAAATTTTTGAGACAGAATAAATGCGTAATCAAAATAACTAAAAATCACTAAAGAAATAAAATTATAAGGAAACCTATGGATGTAGGTATGTACATTTTAGTGGGATTTGAACCCGCCTACGTCCATGGGAAAAAATTACCCGAATAACTTGAAGGAAGTGGCTTGAATACAAGTGGTACATTGCATCCTCTCGATCAAAGCACCGGAGTCAATGGTCAAATACCATGACTTCAAAATAATTTGGCTTTTAGTTTTCGTGAACTCAGTATATTTTTGGTTACTTGTAAAGGAGTATATATTTCATCTTATTCTTATATCAACCAGAAATCGCTTCTACACATTCCCGACGCCAACTCAGATGGTCCTGGTCGCCTCTCCCCTGCAATGGCTGACTGCCCTCTTCAACTTCCTGTTCTATTTTATTTTATTTTTATTTTATTACAAATAGGCACGCCAACATCCTTTAAATCTAACATACAATGAGCTTAAGTTATATTAGCATTAAATCACTGATTTAAAAGACAATTACAGGCGCACACAGCATTCTAAGAAATTTAAACAGTAAACAAGTTTAAAAGAAAATTAAGTAGGTAAGTGTAACAACTTAAATCTAGTAATAAATTGTAACAATCTAAACTTAGGCCTACATGAGATCAGTCAGTAGTTAAGTTAGTAGTTATTAACAGAATGAATACTTAAATAATTTTATATAATTTTATATAAAAAAAAAAAAAAAAAAACAAGTTACAATAACAGTTTTCGCTTATATACTATAAGCGAGTCACTAAAAATATCAACAGCAGGGTTTTTCTTCACAGATTGGTTGTACATTTTGCACATTCTTATCAGAGGAGAATGTGCAGCGACATTAGTGCGACAATACGGAATATTTAATATGTGTGCGATAGGGTGTCTAGGATAGTTATAGGGTACGGACAAAGATATTTTTTCAGTAAGTTCTTGACAATCTAGTTGAGAGTTGATTATTTTGTGTAAAAATACTAAGTTATGTTCTCTCCGATCCTACGGTATACCCGACTCCAGTCCACGTTGCCTCTGACAAGAGACCACGCTTATCATCTGATCAATACTTATAAGGTAAGTAGCTGGCTCATGGCTTACTAAATTAATCTAGACACACGGCAGTGTGTCCGCCAAGTTCGAGCAAAAAAAGCGACACACCGGCCGTGGGTTATATTACACGAACCATTTCGGGCCAAGTTAGACCCACCTATAACTCAAAATCTATTTTATCTACGCATATGAAATTTCTAGTATCTGTCGAGATCTACTTACTTATCTAAAATACAAAATTTCATCAATGTACCTATTGTAGGTCTTGAGATATTGACGTCAGAAAATCGCTATTTTTACTATACACTCACTGACTGACTGACTCACTCACTCATCAAAAACCTAGACCACTTCCAATGGTCGGATTGACTTGAAATTTGGCATGGAGGTAGGTCTTTAGGTCAAGGTAAAGGAAAAATCTGAAAATGGCCAAGTGTGAGTCGGTTTTAAAAATAATGAAGGTGTAAATTCATACCCTTAAGGAACTAAAACAAAACTAACTAGACGTGTGGTGCCGGCAGAGTAGAATAGCACCTCCCCCTCTTCCCGTGGGGTCGTAAAGGCGACCGAGGGATAAACCTGACCCAAACAGCCAGGGCCAACCGTATGGTGGCGTTTAATCCACCACAAAAGCATTCCCAAGGAGGGTTGACGTCTGGTGGCTGGTCGTAAATTCAGCCAAATCCTTTTGCAACACGATTTTGTGTTCAACGAAACGTGTTAGGCCGACCGACACCAAGTAATTGGGATAAGGGCAGGAAGATGATGAAGGAACTAAAACAAAAAATAAATTTATCTATATCTTCCAATGGTCGTACCGACCTAAAATTCGTTACGAAGGTTTGTATTTAGTCAAAGTAAAGTAAAAATCTGAAATCGGCCAAGTGTGAGTCACTTTCGAAAATAACGAATGTGTAACTTTGATCCACTATATGACTAAAGTATGTAGCGAAAATGATAAATAATAAGTAAGTTTTTATTTAAGTAGGTACCTATATGTATGTATACCCCCATATAGATAATTGATAAATGCGCCCGACACAAGACAAAACTCTGTGTTTGTCTGTCGCGGGAATCAAACCCGCGACGAAATACAATATTCAGCAAAGGACAGGCCTATACATCTACATCTTATAAACCTAGATCCTAGCCAAATTAAAGCTCAAGAAAGTTCTATTATAGAATATAACCGGCTACGTACATTATACCGCTCTGACTTGGCAAGCTTATCAGTAAATAAAAAACGTGTAAAAAAAACCAACATATTGAATGGGCAATGCGCTCTAGCGTGTCAGTCGTACAAGACAGCATACAAAATGACAAAACAAAAAAGTTTCCTTTGCCACGCAAACGTAGAAAAATTTAATTTAAAAACTAGTCCATTTCTTTGTAAGAAGCATAGTCCATATTCAAAAATCTAAAAATTAGTATAAATGAGACATTTCCTTAACTAACTTAATCATAAGAAAAAGAAAATAAACCTTACAAAAATAAATGAAATCCACCCAAAACATAAATGTGAAAGGCTGCCAAGTTCGATAATATTGGAATGCTTCGCCTATAAAGAAGTGAGATCTAAATAAGTACCAAGTTCCATACACAGACCTCAGTTAAAAATAGTTACAGGAATGCACACTTGATTTTCCGCAGTTTGGAAAGTAGATATTCTGGATAAATATCATATTAAATACCTAAAATTCTAATACTTATTAAAACGCAAACCTGTTTTTTCAGCAGTTTCCTTAAAACATTTTTATTTATTGTTTTCTGTACTCTTTAATGATATAACTTGGCAAGTTTTGATTGAAAATTATATACTTGACTCATTGCGTTTAGTAGGTTTATAACAAAGTGTGTGAAAACTTGCCAAGTTATATCATTAAAAAGTACAGAAAACAATAAATAAAAATGTTATAAGGAAACTGCTGAAAAAACAGGTTTGCGTTTTTGTAAGTATTAGAATTTTAGGTATTTAATATGATATTTATTCAGAATATCTACTTTCCAAACTGCGGAAAATCAAGTGTGCATTCCTGTAACTATTTTTAACTGAGGTCTGTGTATGGAACTTGGTACTTATTTAGATCTCACTTCTTTTATAGGCGAAGCATTCCAATATTATCGAACTTGGCAGCCTTTCACATTTATGTTTTGGGTGGGATGTGAACTTTCTTGGCTACTCATTTTCACTTGGCTTCCTCTAAAGCGCGATTTGACATGACATTTAATGCGT